TCTCATGCCTGGGAGGTCGTAGCCTCGCTCTCCAGCCTCGTCCCAGCCCCCGGCCTGCAGCACGGCTCTGCATGCCGCCTCGGCCTCGCCGGCTCACGTGCTTTTAGGGGAGCCGGGGGCGGGGCCGCTGCCTGTCGTCTTTGCCTCACAGACCGCACAGCAGCACCCAGGCCGATTTGCGTTGCTTAGGGCAATTGAAGGGATAGGAAAGTCCTCGCCAGCTCTGTACACATCAATACGTGGAAACAAGACCAGACTCAGCCAAAATGGAGACAATTGCTCTTCTTTGAAGGAGAGCCATCCAGGTGGTCCTCCACGTTAGCTATGTAAAGCTTAAGCCAAGCATGGTAGTGGACGCCGTAATCCCAGCACATGGGAGACTGAGGCAGTAGAATCCCCAGTTTGAGGCTAACCTGGGCTATAAAGTGAGTTCAAAGACAGCCTGAACTATAGCAAGACCCAGGCCGAGTTTTAACTTCTTGGGGGATCTCTTTTTAGCCTGCTTGCTGTCCGCTGCCGTCTATCCCAGTGACTGTGAGGCAGCGGGGGGATACTGGGAGCCCTGAAGAGAAGATCTTTTTAGTTCTGAATCCCAGTGTAAGGTGAACAGCGGCGATCCAGTAAAGAACCCAGCCAGCCTAAACCGGGTTTCCAGCGAGACCTCCTAGAGTAAGTCCAGAGGAGAGTCGGAGTCCAGGTCCTTGAGCCGGGCTTCTTTGGGTGGGGCGGGGGGCTGCTGGCTCGCTGGGTGGTTGCGAGGGACTAGCTGAGGCGCCAGGCAACGTGGCAACGGCCGGCGTGGCCGTGGCCGATGCTTTTGGTGCAGGTGCACCACGACCGAAGAGCAGGCAGGTTGGGAACAGGGTGCAGGAGGGTTGTTTTGGGAGTTTAGGCAGCTGGGCTGAGCCGCTCGCCGCTCGGGGAGGTCTGCGGCCTGGCAGTTTGCGAGGGCTGGACTTGTCACCCAAATTAAACAACCCCCTCCCTAAAGGGTGCCTCGCTAAGCCCTCGGTGGCGCTGTGAATGTGGCTGCGCTTGAGCCCTCCCCGGCTGTCGGCTGCCGTGTGCCTTGTGGAAGGGTCTGTCTGGGGCAGAGCCCGAGTTGTTTCTGCACCTCCCTGCTTCTGTGGGCTGGCCCTGTGCTCCCCTTGCCTCTGGCAGCTGGGCGGAAAAAAAGGTCCGCCTTGACTCTGTGCTCTGCGCGAGGCCCCATCTTCCCATTTCTCGGGAGCTTCCGCATCTCCCTATCTAGGCCGCACGTGGTGGCCCACAGCCGCAATCCCAGCGCTTAGGAGGCTCAGGCAGGAAGATCTCCACAAATTCAAGGCCAGCCTGGACTAGAGAAGTGAGACTCTGTTGCAAGAAACAAAACAAGCCGGGCGTGGTGGCGCACACCTGTAATCCCAGGACTCGGGAGACTGAGGCAGGAGGATCGTTGTGAGTTTGAGGCCAGCCTGTGCTACAAAGTGAGCTCAAGGCCAGCCTGAACTGCATAGCGAGACCCTGTCTCAAAAGACCAAAAAAGAGAAAAGAAATAAAACAAAGCAAAAAAAACTACATGGACAAAAAATACCTGTCCTGAGGGCCAACATTACTTTCTCTCATGGGTGTCCATATTATTGATAGCTCCATTTATTTTTTTGTTTCTAATCAGATTTACTGAGCTATTAATTTATGTACAGTCATGATGGGTGTGTGTGTCTGTGTTGCTGGAGCCCCGTGCTGGGCAAGTATTCTACCCCCATGAACGACACACCTAGCCTGGGACATTCAGCCATGTGATCTGATGAGCCACCCCTGCTTGGAATGTGCGGGGCAGCTGCAGAGGGTTCAGAGTGCCGCGGTGCACCACCTCCCGCTGGCTCCCTGCGTCAGCTACCTGCTGTGGGGGCTGTAAGTGGGTTTGCTTTCCATCCTGGTACCTACATGGAGCCATGTAAGAAGTATTTGGTCTTAGTCCCGCTTCTTTCTCTGAGCACAGTGACTTTGAGAGTCACCTATATCCTTGTGTATACAAGTAGTCTGTCCCTTCTATTGCTGAGAAATAGTTCTCTGTATGAGTGTATCTCACTCTGCTCATCCACCCACCTGTTGGTTTGAGTTGTTTCCACTTTAGGGATATTATGAACAAAACGACTATGAATATTTATACCCATGTCTTCATACAGTTTGTTTTTATCACTTTTGGGGCTTTCTGGTACCAAGAATCGAACTCGGGACCTTTTGCTCGTCAGGCAGGCGCTGTGCCGCTGAGCTATATCCCCAGCCCTCACTTTTGGATAAATAGCTAGTAGTGGAATAACTGGATCGTACAGTAAGTGTTCAGCTTTTCAAGAGACCACCAATACAGGTTACATTCCCGACAGCAGCGCGTACTCCCCAGTTGCACGGCATCCGTAAACTTAGGGGAACATCGATGCTGTCTCGCCGTAGTAACAAGTGGCTACCTGTGGGAGACACACTGGCCACGCGCAGGTGGCCTCCTTGGTCCCCACCTTCTGGTGCACGGCTCTGTGTAACCCGTCTTGCAAGTCCGGGCGGGCGTGAAGCGTGACGTGCACCCAGGCACTCGCTCCTGCTCAGGTGATGGGACTGCGTGACTGTGAGCCCTGTCCTGCTGGTCTCTCCCTTGCTGGCTCTGAGGGCCAATGGGCATGCTGCAGAACTCCAGGTTCAGGGAACTGCAAGTGCGTGTGGTCATCAGGGGCTAAGCTTCCAGCTGACAGGGAGAAGAAAAGGAAAAGAGGAAGAGGAAGAAGGGGAAGGGGTTGGAGAGAACCGGTGTCTGAGGAGGCAGCACCTTCACCAGCGGAGCTTCCGCCGAGAGCCACCCGGCCACCCCCAGCACAGCGCTGGGAGGCCGCGAAACCGGACAGATCTGGCCTTGGGTCCCTCAGCCGCACAGCAAGAAGGCCGCTCAGCAAGGCTGACAGTTTAATTGAGCTCTCTGTGCGGAATGCATTCTGTTGCCCAATCACACGTAACCAAATCGGTCTTTGAATAAGGTCGTGAGACTCAGCCCCTGTGCAAAGTACCCAGGCCTACGTCTTTGCGTCAAGTAATTAAACTTCTTAGTCTGGAGTACACTGTTTCATGATTAAATCTTGACCTTTGTATAAGGTTATTAGACTTTCCCGGTTTTGATAACTATTTTTGCCATTAATCGGAGTATTGGCGTGCTACTTGTCTTTCTGTGGCTCTGTCTACAAAGTTACTTTTCAAATGGGCTTTTGCTTTGGCTAGAACTACCTTGTCTGGATTTTTGAATGTATAAGGGAATGTTCCAGAAAGAATGACAGGATGGTACGCGCGGTGGTCCTCAGCTCAGCTCCTGCTGACCTTGAAGGGAGGTCCATGGCGCTGGACGCCGGTGCTAACGTTATCACACGGAGTAAGTCCCCTATGTTAAAGCAACTACTAAAAAATACAAAAGCAGCTACCCAACACTTTCTCGCTTGTTGATTATGACTTATTGTGACTTTTTCTCTCTCATGTTATCAAGTGGTAAAACTTATTCCAAAAACTTGAGAACATTTACCCAGTGAAGAAGAATTTCTAAATTATATTTTCTGTGATTCAAAAAGTGCCCATGACCAAAAGGGGTGGTGGGGTGATGGTTAGAGTGTGCTGTGCGCATGTGCACAGCTGCTGACGTGAGGTCCGGTCTCCCACAGAGCCAGGCCGGCCTTGCTTGTTAGTACAGATTGGTTCTGCAGATGAATGGGTTTGAACACTTTGACTTCTGCTCAGGGAGTAATATCCCTAACCAGAACAGAACTTTTAGACCCAGTACTAAATTGTGGTGCAGCATTGCTTCTGACTGATCTCTTAGGAAATATAAAAAGTGACAATATGATGCTTGATAGAGGTAGTCCACTCAGAGAATCCAGTTCTGTAGCAGAAGTCGGATTAAGTTACTCAGCTAGGCTATATCAAATAACTCAGATAGCCGGGTGTGATGGCGCACGCCTGTAATCCCAGCACTTGGGAGGCTGAGGCAGGAGGATTGTTTCAAGTTCAAGGCCAGCCTGGGCTGTAAAGTGAGCTCAAGGCCAGCCTGAGCTGCATAGCGAGACCCTGTCTCAAAAAGACAAAAAAAAAAAGTTAAATGTTTATGAAATACATCCCATTAATATGTACAATTTTTAAGTTTTTATGTATCAGTTTAAAAAAAACCTGAGCATGGTGGCACACACCTGTGATCCCAGCTCCTTGGGAGGCTAAGGCAGGAGGATCACAATTTTGAGGCCAGCTGGAGCAACTTAGTGGGAGCTTGTCTCAAATAAAAAATGAAAAGAGCTGGGGATGTAACTCAGTAGAACACTTGCTCAGCGTGCATAAGGCTGTGTTCAATCCCCAGCACTGCAAAATAAATAAAAATTAAGTTTAAAAAGTTACATCTAGTCAGGCATGGTGGTGTGCCCCTGTAATCCCTGCACTCAGGAGGCTGAGGCAGGAGGATCACCCCCAGTTTGAGGCCAGCCCTGTCTCAAAAAATCAAACAAAATATATATCTTTAACATAAGAAAGGCAATTTAAAGTAACTCACAAGGGCCGGGGAACCAGGGGGCTCCCCTTCCCCTTAGCTCAGCGGCACAGTGCCTGCTTGGCAAGTGCAAGGTCCCAAGTTTGATTCCCAGTACCAAAAAAAAAAAAAAAGTAACTCATACCAGGTCATAGAGCAAGAAAATGGCCAGCTAGAATTTGAACTCAAATCTCTTTAGACTTGGGCCCATGCCCTCCAAGCCTGGGCATACTGCCTTGGTAAGACTAGCTATTCGGGAGTTAGGACATCTAGGTTTTATCTTGTGTGACCTGGGAACCTGTCCTTGGAATCCCTTAGCCAGATGTTACTGATAAGCCCGGATACCGTGTTTCCAACAGGCCCTGCTAGTTGTAGCCCCACTGACGTTGTTATCTGCCCCCTGATTTTGATTTTACCTCATGGAAGCCTCAAGCCTGGATTGCTAACCCAGATACCATTTGCCTCTGGCACACAGGGGTCCCTGCGGATGAGGAGCCCCAGGGAGACGAGCAGCTGTCCTCTGCTTATCCGCTGCTCCTCCCCCAGGGGATTGCCCTGGGACGGAGCCAGCCCTTGAGGAGGCTCTGTTCCTCCTCCTCTCCTGGTTCTGGGATAGGGGTCGGGCCTGGCTCAGCTCCAAGAGAAACTTTCAAGAGCCAAGAGATAACCCATCACCAAGGTGAAGACCAGCCTTAAAAGCATCTCCCTGCGCGCTCGCCTCCCTCACAGCCGTCTGTCCTGCCTGCGGACACCAGCTACCATGTGGGAGCTCGTGGCTTTGCTGGGGCTCATCCTAGCCTATTTCCTGTGGCCCAGGCAAGGGTCTCCTGGTGCCAAGTACCCGAGGAGCCTCCCATCTCTGCCCCTTGTGGGCAGCCTGCCCTTCCTTCCCAGAAGCGGCCACTTGCACTTGAACTTACTCAAACTGCAGAAAAAATATGGCCTCATCTATTCCTTCCGTTTGGGCTCCACAAACACAGTGGTCATCGGCCACCACCAGCTGGCCAGGGAGCTGCTTGTCAAGAAGGGAAAGGACTTCTCCGGACGGTCCGTGACGGTAAGCACGCCCATCTCTGCTGGCCCTCCCACCCGCTGGAGTGCACCTGCTCCCGATTCCCCGAAGCTCAGGCCGTGGGAAGAAGGGAGGGGAGCGACCTGCCACCCCACCGGCCCTTAGGCGGAGCACGGAGAATTCAAGGGAGGCCTCTGAACCAGTGGCCCCGGGGGTCGTGAGCCCTCACCCCACTCGCCTCACCCTGGACCTGGATAGAAATCTCTGGGCCTGATTGACAGAGACGCTCTTGGTAAACCCCACAGCCCAGGCCCCGTAAACTGCCGAAGGAAGAGCCGGCGTTACCGCCACTCTTCCTCAAAAGTGGGGGCAGCGGTCACTCCTCCAACGGGAGGTGCCGAAGAGAAGCCAGGCGCTCCGCAGGCTGGGGTGGCCGTCTTCCCAGAGCTGCCCCGGTGACTCCGGGCCATGGCGGGGGCTGACCGCCAGCGGCACGTGCGGGCTGCTGCAGACCCCACCTAGGTCACTGTCGGTCACCATCCCAGTGCCCGGCCCGCACTCCCATCCCTACGCCCGCTGCGGAGACCTCCCCAACCACCCTGGCGGGACGCCTGGCCTCACGCTCACGGACTGCGGCGGGCTGCTTTGCCTTAAGCCAGTCAGCCAGAGGGGCCCCCAGCTTCCCTCTGCCGTTCCTCCTGGGGGTCTTGGCAAGGCTGCGGGTCAGAAGGCGGAGGACAGAGGTTTTTTTTGTTGCTCCCCTGGGAGGAGGCAGCGTGGCGCGGGTCCAGCGTGGGCAGCAGGGCTCGTGCGCTCCGCAGGCAGGGCTGGTGATGGTGTGCAGTGTGGAGATGAGCACGCCGAGCCCCAGGAGGGCAGGGAGGTCCGGCAGCCGCTGTCTCTATGAGCTGGCCGGTTCCTTGTCCTCAGACCAGGCAGTTTGGACAGCTTACTCCACCCACACTGGCCCCATCCTGGTCAGAACTGATAGCGGCCAGCGGAGGTCCCCTCCCCGGGAGATGAACCCCAGAACTCCTGCCTCCTTCTCCTGACTGCCCCGTACTGTCTCTCTTGGAATCGGGCAGGGGACCTTCAGGCCTCTCCTACAAGATCACACAGTCTGGGTGGAACCAGGGGGCTCCCCACACGGGGCCAGCACGGCAGGCACCCGCCTCTCCCCAGGAAGAGGAAGGGGCTGGGGAGGCGCAGGACCGGGTGGGGCGCTGTGGGGCGTGAGTGATCCCTACAGCCTTGCCTACTCTCCACAGACCAGCTTAGCCCTGCTGTCAGACAACGGGAAGGGCATCGCCTTCGCTGACTCAGGGGCCTCCTGGCAGCTGCACCGGAAGCTGGCACTAAGCTCCTTTTCCCTGTTCAGGGATGGCGAGCAGAAGCTGGAGAACATCAGTGAGTGCTGGGGCTGGAGAGGGAAGGAGGGCGGGCGGGAGGGCCCGGAAGGGCTGTGGAGGGCTCGCCAGCCTTTCCCGGGTGACTGCTGCCATCTCCTGGCCGCACGGGGCCGGGCCCTGCCCTGGCTAGCACGCGGGTGGCGGGTGGCGGGGATGAGGTTGCCGATTCGTTACCCGTCTCTCCGCACAGTATGTCAGGAAGCCAGTACACTGTGCGATTTTCTGGCCACCTGCGATGGACAGGACATAGACTTGTCCCCGTCAATCTTCATGGCGATAGTCAACATAATCTGCGCGATATGCTTCAGTATCTCGTACGAGCGCGGGGCCCCTGAGTTGGCGACCATAAAGCACTTCACCAAAGGCTTCCTGGACAGCGTGAGGGAGGACTTGCTGGTGGACATATTCCCCTGGCTGAAGGTGAGCGTGAAGCGGCCCCACCTTCAGACGCTGGCGCCCTTGGACACGTTCCCAGCCCTTCCTCCTGTTACTGCCCAGCTCCAGACCCATGTGTGTCCTCAGAACCTCGGCCACAGCGGCCCCGCCCTCCCTGCCTCTTGTAACGCGGGCCGCTTCCCACACGAACGGGTCTGGCCTCGTATTTGTGCATCTTTGATAGCGACTCCCGCTTATTTCTCAGCTGCCATGTGCCCGTATGCAGCACTCTGCATTCACCCTTTCGTTCCCGCCAGGGGCCGCTGTCCAGTCACCACTGTGCACGTGAGAAGATAGATCCAACCTGCTTAGGCAGCTTGCCCCGTCTTCAGGCTCATTTATCTTTTCTTTTCTTTTATTTTTTGGTTGTAATAGTGATTGAACCCAAACCGTCATGCTAAATAAATACCCACCCTATTTATTTATTTATTCATTGAAAGAGAGGGTCCCACTGAGTCACCGGATTGTGCAGGCTGAGCTCAAACTTGCAGTCTTTCTGCCTCAGTCTCCCAGTGCGGAGGACTGTAGGTGCTGGCCGTGCTGTCCACTTACCTGACATTCAAGGGCTGGCCACACAGCAGAGTGTGGCCTTGATGTTGGATTGAATGGGGCAGGGGAAGGGAAACCGCCCTTGCTTGGTGTCCTAGTTGCCCATTCTCTGTCCCCACCTTGCCTTCCACTAGGCCGAAGGGCAGGGATGAGTGGGAGCGCTCCTGAGACAGGGAGCTCGGTCAGCCTGCAGCAGGGATTCCCAGGCCTGGAAAAGAGAAGTGAAAGAGGCGTGGACCTGACATTTCTTTGTCTTTAGCTTTTTTTTGTACCAGAAATCGAACTCAGGACCTTGCACTTGCCAGGCAGACACAGAGCTACATCCCCAGCCCACTGACATTTCTTTCTTCTCTTCAGGTTTTCCCCAGTAAGGCCTTGGGAATACTGAGGAAGTACATTGAAGTTCGAGGTGTCCTGCTGAGTAAGATTCTGAAAGACAGCAAGGTAGGCGGTGCCGCGGGTGAGTGTGGGGAGGCTGCAGGCAGGCCAGGGTCCACCGTGGCCTCTCCGGAGCCCAGCAGGGTGCCTGACACATAGTAGGTGCATTATAAAAGCTGACCTAATAATAGGAAAGCGAGGCATTGAAGGGTCACTAGGAGGGACACAGGCACCCCCCAAATTTAACGAGGGCCCAGGGTTATTTCCTACCTCCCCAAGCGTGTGGGTCCTGTCCAGCCCCTCCGAGCACCCCGGTCTTGCCGTCTCGTCCAGGACAGAACTATAGCGGCAGGGCTGCGGCCAGGGGTCCCCCCTCATTACTGTCTCACCCTCCCCGCCCAGGAGAAATTCAGAAGCGACTCCATCACCAACATGATAGACCTGCTGCTCCAAGCCAAGGAGAATGAGGACAATAACAACTCTGGCCTAGGCCAGGACTCAAATGTATTTTCAGACAAGCACATTCTCAGCACCTTAGGGGACATCTTTGGGGCTGGCGTGGAGACCTCCAGCTCTGTGGTGAGCTGGATCATAGCCTTCCTGCTGCACAACCCGCAGGTGAGCTCCTCCCACTCCTGGCTCCCGTCCACCCGCAAGCCGGCCTGCGACCCCACACTCCAGACCCAGGGAGAGACTGCCCTCTGCCTTCCCTACAGGAAGGCTGTGCTGGCCGCCCTGTCCCCAGGGGCTCGGGCTGCCAGAGGTTGGGCCTGGCTCGGACCCGGCTCGGACCCGCATGCGAAGGCTCTGCACAGCCACTTCCGGATGCGGCCCTTGGGTTCTGAGGAGCCCCTGCTTCTCCTGGGCTTACACAGACTGACTCCCTGCGCCTTGCTCTGGCCCTCAGGTGAAGAAGAAGATCCAGGAGGAGATCGACCAGAATGTAGGTTTCAGCCGTACACCGACGTTCAATGACCGCAACCACCTCCTCATGCTGGAGGCCACCATCCGAGAGGTCCTTCGCATCAGGCCGGTGGCCCCAGTCCTCATACCTCACAAGGCGAACACCGACTCCAGGTACCTTCCCCCCCAGGTTACTGCCACAGGTTACTGCCAGGGTGCTTGGCAGCCCGGCTGGCTCCACCCAGCCTGCTGCTCAACTTGCAAACACCGGCAACTACCAGTCCTCGTGCCCCAGCCCTTCTGGCCAATTTGCCCACCACCTTGGGTGCCCCCTGCCGAGCGCACAGGCCCGCCAGGCTGCGCGCAGAGCGGCTCGGGACCGCGCCCAGGCAGCGGCGCTGCGCGCGTACACGCACGGCTCCTGCGGCGCGCCCACCCCGGCGGGCAGCGGCGTCCGAGGGCCCGTGCTGGGACAGGGTTGATTCGGACTGGCTGGGCAGAAGCTGCGAGACGAGGAGAGAACTGAGGGGTGCAGGGTGCCTTCCCCGGGAGGGCCCTGCCGGGGGTGGGGGCGCCGCACCCACCCTGGCCCTGCCTCCCTCTCCCTGTGGCAGCGTCGGGGAGTTCACCATCGACAAGGACACAAACGTGATCGTCAACCTGTGGGCTCTGCACCACAGCGAGCAGGAGTGGGACCGGCCGGACCAGTTCAAGCCCGGTGAGCCCCTGCTCTGGCCGTCCCGCCCCCTGGGCCAAGTAATCGGCTTGGACTCTCGGCCCCCAGCACCCAGTCCGAGCAGAGCTGCCGCCGCACGGGCCCCTCACCCGCCCCCTCCCGCCTGCTCTGCGCTGGCCCCCACGCCTTCCCTCAGCTGCGCCTGCTCCTCCCAGAAGCCCTCTGAGGCCTAAGCTGCCTCCCTCACGCCTGCCCCTTCCTCACCCGCCCCCTGTGCTCCCCGGTGCTTCCTGTCTCAGGGGCTCATGGAGGGCGGGGCTGTGTCCCCACCGGTCAGGGCGGCTTCCAGGCCCGGCCCCTGGCTGATGACTCCCTTTGCCCACAGAGCGCTTCTTGGATCCGACAGGCAGCCAGATCATCGTACCCTCCCTGAGCTACCTGCCCTTTGGAGCCGGGCCCCGCTCCTGTGTAGGGGAAGCCCTGGCTCGCCAGGAGATCTTCCTCATCACAGCCTGGCTGCTGCAGAGGTTTGACCTGGAGGCGCCGGGAGACGGGCAGCTGCCCCTGCTGGAGGGCGTCCCCAAGATGGTCTTTATCATCGAGCCTTTCAAAGTGAAGCTCACCGTGCGCCAGGCCTGGAAGGAGGCCCGGCCGGAGGGCGACCCCTAGACGCAGCACCCGATCCCCCGCCCCCCCCCAAGCCCCAACCCCCCACCCCGCTCCGCCCGCCGCCCTTTCCAGCCTGCAGCAGCGCATAAACTGAGCAGTTCCTCAACAGGTCCCCAGCCGCTCGCTCATTTACTCATCTGCTCCCTCATTCGATCGAGAGATGCTCTGCTGAGCGCACAGCGCGTCCTGTCCGGCGCCGGGGGCGCAGGCCGGGCCCTGGGCTCACGTGCGCTGAGGGCCGGCGGCGTGTCGCGGGCGCGGCGGTGCTGGGGCCAGTTCCATGCAAGGACAGAAGGGCGGCTGGGCGAGGCCGCTTTAGACGACGGCCTGGGGCGGGCAGGGGCGGTGGGGTGTGCCCGCCTTGAGGAAGGAAAGGGACGCTCTCAAGGTGGGAAAGGCCAGGGCCGAAGTGGGCAAGTGAGCGGGAGGAGGCCGCCGCGGTCAGCACGGGCCTGGCGGGTCTGAGGAGCGGGCGGCTTTCGGCGGGCAGGAGGGCGGCGGCCATTGCACACGCGTGGGCAGCGATCTGCTCCGTGCTTGTCCAGGCTCAGCCCGCGTGCTGCACGGAGCGCGGTCTCCTGAGGGCGGAGGAGAGGGGAACGGAAGAACGGCTGGGAGGGCGGCGTGCTGGCCGGGAAGGTGACACGCCGATGGCCTTCGCCTGGCCACAGCGGGGGAGCTGGCCAGAGGAGGCAGGGTCGGTTTACATTTTGAAAGTAGAGCTGCGGTCTTTGGCCCAACAAACGCGCTGCACGCACCTCCCGGATTTGGCTTTGGCGGGACGTGCAGCCCACAGGCGGCGACCCCGTAGTCTTGGTTCTTCCTCAAGGACCAGCACGCCTTGCCCTCCTGCTGCCCGGGGAAACACCGCCGAGAAAGCTGCCTTCTGCAGCAGTGCCGCGTTCTACCCCTTCTCCCCGCTCAAAAGCCCCAAGGAGCCTCAAAGCCTCGCTAGGAGACGGAGCCCTGAGTCCTGGAAATGTGAGCACAGCCTCTCACCCTCGGCCGGGGCAGCCTGCCCACGGGCCTGCTGAGGTGCCTGGCCGAGTCGGGCGGGCCAGGCTGCGGCCATCGATGACCCAGGCGGGTTTAATGCTCTGACTGGACAGGAGGCTGTGGAACGGCCAGCAGGGAAGTCCATGGTCCTCCGGGGTAAGTTTTCCGGGAGGAGGAAGACCAAGGGAGCTCCGGGAAGCAGGAGGGCCGAGGTTTCGGTCAGAGCAGCACCTCCTGCAAGAGCGTGCCCGCTCCTCTGCCCGGGTCAGCGGGGCTCTCGGGGCTGGGGCCGGGAAGAGCAGCGTCCTCTCAGACAGGAACCTCGTGGCCCTGGCACCTGCCCCCGATGCACGGGTTTGTCCCCGCCGAGGGCCGCCACCAAATCCCCACGTCCCGGGCTCGGCGTGAACGCCTCTCAAGAGCCGGGACTCCCGGCCCTCGGCCTTCCCCTCCCGCTGCCCTCGGTGCACCTGTGTGGCCCTGAGGAGGGTGTGGGCGCCCGAGGACACGGTCCCCCGGCTCTGGAGTTCAGGACTGAGCCGCCTCCTGTGCTTCGTCCCGCACGTCAGCACGTCTCAGACGCGTCACGGCTCCCGGGCCCACGACTGGGCAATGACGCTAGCTCCTTGTGCCGAAGAAGTCCCGAGGGTTGGCAAAGCTGGAAGGGCGTTGCCGAGACTCCCCTCGCCTCGTGACCTCACCACCCTTCACAAGCAGTGCCGGGGGGACACATGCGCAGCTCCCCTGGGTGTGGCACCCTGGCTGTGGTGGTCGCCAGCCGCAGTGGGAGGGCGGGAAACCGCGGTTAGTTGTCCCTGGGTGACCCTGGGCACGGGGCGCTCCGAGCAGTGCGCTGTGGCTGTTTCCTGGTGTGACCACCGTGGGCCGGGCCTCCACAGGCCCGGGGAGCTCACCCACCACACACCTGCGCTGCGACCTGCACAGCGGCTGGGTGCGCGCGCTGCGGTAGCTGCTGTGACGCCACGGCCTGCGTGTGCAGCACCAGCGGCCGCAGCGTGGTCCCGACAGTGTCCCTAGGAGGAGACGGGAATTTCCAGCGCCACTGCAATCCCCTGGAACCACCATTAATTCATGGCCTCTGGTTCTCCTGCGGGCACCGGACTGCCCCCTAAATGTCCCTGTGCCATATTTCCACCGTGCGGACACTTAACACCTTCAAGGGCAGAGCAACGTGCAATGACATAATTTAAAAGTGATGTTCCGCACACTTGCTGCCTTTGTTTCTAATATATTCAATTATGGATTGTAAGATTTGGTTTGTTACTGGTGGTTCAATAAGCGGTTCATCAAATTCCTCAACATTTACTCATCAGCTCTAGGGAGCTAAAGAGCCACCCCTCCCAGGAGCAGTGGACCATCCCAGCCCCTCCGAGCAGCAGCCCCTGCACAGGGCCTTCCCCAGCGACCCGGCGTGCGGGCCGGGGTGCGGCTGCTCCCTGGTGATCACCTGCTGGCCTCTGGTGATGCGGAAGCTGAGGCCTGGGAAGCCGTACCTGCAGCCACAGACACACCCGCCTCACTGCACAGGCCGTCAGCAGGGTGGGGACCACGGCCCGTGTCTCAGGCCTCCTGCCGATTCCCCAGACCTGCTTCCCCACTTGTAAAGTGGGGTCACTCAGCATGAGCGCCGCCTATTCGCTGCCCGAGGCTCTGGGTGAAACTCGCGGAGCTCAGTGAGCAGGCGTCTCGCGGGCTGAGCTCATGCGTGGACGCAGACTGTCGTGCTGGTGTCGTTTACCAACTGACCTCTTACCTGGCCTTCTTCCCTTTCGTGTGTGGCTTGGTGCTGGGGACTGAACCCAGAACCTTCCTACTGAGCTACGCCCTTTTTTGAGATAGGACTTCACTAAGTTCCCCTGGCTGGGCTCAAATTTGCAATTCTCCTGCCTTAGCCTCCCCGAGTGCTAGAATTACAGGCTACCGGCATCCACACTCGCCTTTTGGGTTTCTTAAGCCTCAGTTTTCAGCTGTGCATGGGAGGCTAAGGCAGGAGGATTACCACATATTGAGACCAACCTGGGCTACGCAGTGAGTTTAAGACCAGCCTGAACTACATAGCAAGGCCCGGTCTCAACAGAACAAGATCTCCATTTCCCTGTGCACTACCGGGTTACAGGGTGGGGGCGGTGGGGGGTGTGGATATAGTACCAGCCTCGGAGTGTTGCTGAAGATCAAACACTGTATGTGCCTTAATAAAGATTGACATTATCATTAACTTATCACCCAAATCCAAAAAATACCTTTCTGAGGGTTTTACACACACTTCCCCTAACTCCAGCCAACCTTGGCCTAGCATTCCCTCGGCGTCGCTCCTCACCGGCCCAGCGCAGGGTTGCCGCCCCCGGGAGGCTGCTCTGACCCCCCAGCCGGCACCCCGGGCATGGCGGGCGGGCACTGCTGCGCGGTAGACAGTGCCGAGGCACTCTCTCCAGGCCACAGCGGGCCCCTCTATGAGGCAGAGGCCGAAGGGTCCCCACTCCCGGGGCCGGCACAGGAGGAGCTCCACACAGGCCTGAGCTCTAGGGAGGCCAGCGCCACCTGTCCCCAGGCTGGGACCTGGCACCCAACCTCCAAGCCGTGAACCCCCACCAGGGCCGGCCGGCAGTGGCTCCGTCAGCCAAGCCCCTCCCCGTCCTCCTGGGTCAGGCCTTGGTCTCTGCTTCTTGGCTGAAGCAGGACACGAGAACGGGGAGTTCTAGTCTTGTCCATCAAACTCCCCATCCTGGGCTTCAGGGCACGGATGAAGTGTGCACCAGAACCCAGGCACTTGGGGCAACTAGAGAAACGAGGAGCTCAGTGACCCAGGCGCTGGACACCAAGGAGACTTACACCCTCTGGAGACCAGCCCACGAGAACTGCTCCATTTGGACAGTAGCTTTTAAAAAGGAAGGAACAAGCCCTGCACGGTGGGAGGTGCCTGTAGTCACAGCACTCTGGGAGGCTGGGGCAGGAGGACTGCAAGTTTGATCCCCCTCACAATTGGGGTAACTTAACCCTTCTCAAAATTAAAAAAAAAAAATTAAGAGCTGTGGCTATAGCTCAGTGCAAAGATCCTGGACTCAACTGTTAGTACGGTAAAAATGAATGAACAAATGAACGAATGGATGGCAGAAGCGACGAACACCTTCAATTCTCTCCTGTGGGTTCAGAACAGAACCATCCCTAGGTGAGAATATGCCCCACTAGGGTCACCCGGAAAAGCCCAGCAGGAGACGGCAGCCACGACCCCGGCTGCCACCCTCTAGCCCCGGCAGAGACGTCGGGGAGCGGGTGCCCAGGCTCGCTCCGGACTCTCAAAACCACCCGAGCAGAGCACAGACACCCTGAGCAGGGAACGATGCTCACTGCCAGCACCCGGGACCTGGCCCCTGAAGCAGGAAGCCTCTCGGAAGATGCCAGGCTGCACACCATCTTGCTCCGCCCACTCGCAGGTGGCCCGAAGAGCTGTCCCCCTTCCTGGGCAGAGCTGGCAGGCTGCACCTTCCCTGGGCTGTGCTCAGGGTCTGACTCAAGTTCTACGCAGGGCCTTTAAGCCAAGGGTAGAGTTAACAAAGGACATTCCAGTCTGAGTGAGGAATCATCGGCCTTGGCCTGCAGCTCGGGCACAGCGGGGCTCCCCTGCTGGGCGTTCAGGGTCTCAGGGCCTCTGAGCCTGCGCCGCAGGCTCCCACCTCGCCCTGCGGGGTTAGCGAACCATCTCGCACAGGGACACCCCATCTTCCCAACTCCGGTGTAGGGGCCAGGGCTTCACCTCCTGGTCACTGTGCATCTCAGTACCTAGCTCAGTGCTCAGCACAAGGCGGGCAGCTCGAGATGCATTTTGTGTGTCAAACTGCAAAGCTGAGCACCATCTATATTCCTACCCTAACAGATCTCCGAGTGCTTGCTGCCTTTCAAATGTCACACTTCCCCCACGCGAGGCGCGGGTCTGACTGAACGTGGCTCTGCTCTTGGGTCTGCCTTGGTACTGGGAATCGAACTCGGGACCTTGTGCTTGCCAGGCAGGCACTGTGCCGCTCAGCTACATCCCCGGCTCTTGGGGTCTGCTTTGAACCTGTTTTCCAGGCTTCATGGAGTAGTCCTCAAATCAGGGTTTGAGGGAAAACGCCTCAGGGCACAGTGTGCACCCAGCAGCAGCACCCAGCCTGCCCTTGGCCTCCAGTGCTGCCGACACGGCCGAGCCCGCCTGCGGGGAAGGGGCCGCCGAGTGGGATCTGAGGGCACAACCCCCGCAAGTCTGAGAGGAGAAAGGAGCACAGGACTAGAGGAAGCGAGCACTGGGGCTGGGGGCTGGTTTTTATTTGAGGTTCTCACAGTGGTTAGAGCCACTCTGTCTTTAGAACAATCACAACACAGGAAATGCGTCACCAAGACTGCCCAGAAAAGTGACCGGCTGAGTCTTATTGCTTAAAATACACATACGCACGAGAACTGACAAACGGCCACGTGCCTCCCACCTCCCACGGGAATGTGTCTGCATCTGCCAATCTTCCGACGTAGCACCAAACCCGCCGCCAGCCCTCTCCTCGCTGGCCCGGAAAGCCAGCCTCAGTCTCGTCTCCGTGGCCCCGAACTTCACCGTCATTCTCCTGCCTGAGCAGTAGCCTCCGGCAGCAGGGCCAGGCGCTGGTGCTCCCCACGCGGCCTCCTGGCTGGGGCTGCGCCGGGAAGCGCCTGCTGCAACTGGAAAGAACTTGAGTTTGAATTCAACCGTGTGATCAGCTGGCTGGAGAAAGATGCATTTTGGTAAGACTTGTTCTCTGAGCACTTCAGTGAGTTCTTTGGGACGTGGAAGGACGGTATCAGGGCTGCGGATGCGCTCGGTCGCTCTCTGGCCTCCGCCGGCCTCATTCACGCCTGCAAGCCGCTCAGCAGAGGCCTCCTGCCCACCCCGGGCAGCCACTGTGGGGCCACAGCTAGTCCGAGCTTGTCTGGGACGCCACCTCTGCTTTCTGTCCTGAGTGGCGTGAACTCCCGACACCGAGGGTGAGGGGCAGCGGAGGAAGGCAGGCAGGTGTGGAGCTCGGCTGCATTACGGGAGCAGAACACAGGCGCCGAGGGGCCACGGAGCATGTGCAAATCGCAGTGATGGGGGGACCCTTCCTTGGTGCAGCATCTCGGCCAACGCGGGGCTGCTGCTGGCACCGCTGCCGGGTACCCCAGGCACACAGTCAGGCGTTTGTTCAGTAAACACAAATGCATAAAGTAAATCACCTTGAGAGGGCCACGTCTGCTCCGGGTGTGTGGTTAACGTGAGCAGAACGGCTGCCGTTCAAAGTATCTTCACAGGAACACAGGGCTTGAGACTGACACCGACACACACACACACACACACACACACACACACACACACCCATTCAGAAAGTCACTGCGTAGATTTCACTTTGTTCGACGCGTTTTGGTTTTGTGGAATCCTAAAGCGAACACTCACTCACCTCACAACCATGATTTGTCTGCTGTGCATGCATGTGGAAAAAATATGTATGCATATAGACTTTTTCCCTTTTTCTTTTCTTACTGTAACAGTAACACCTAGTCTAAACATCATGGTTCAAGAGCAGGACAAGAACCAAACATTTCCTATGAGGAGGGCTGGTTAGGGAATGTGTCTCGGCTGCCTGCTTTCTCCTGTGGAGTATTCCTAAAGCAGAGCAAAGCTCCATCGTCCTCTGAAGCCGAACGCTAGTAACGAGGGTCCTGCGGTCCTGCCCGAGGCTGCCCCTGCCCCCCGGCCGGGCCACAGGACTCCTTACATAGGTCACAGACGAGTCACCCACCCCAAAGGGGCGGGGGCAGGACAGCGCACGAGAACCACAGGTAACCAAGGTATTTTTTCCAAGTGGTCAGTTTAAAACAAACAACAACAACAACAAAAGACTTATTAAGAATGAACGAGAAAAATACTGTGTGAGAAGCAGGGACCGGGCCGCCTGTCCCAGGACTCAGCTGCTGATCTGTGTGTCCCAGGGGACACAGCGACGCGAGCCTCGCGGGCTGCACGCTCGGGCTGGAAGGACACTGGTCACTGCAGGCGCAGACCGGGGCGCAGACGCAGGGAGCGGCTCTCCATCCCCCCAGGTCCGGGCCTCCCCAGCCCGCCCCGCTGCCAGGCTTTCTGAAGGGCAGCCTGTCAAACAGCCCCAAGTGTCCCTTGTCCAGAAGAGGACTCTGGCCTGCTTGCTGCTAAGGTTCCTGGTGGCTTGTGTGTAAAGGAAAAACCGAAGAGAAGGCAGTGCAATCCCCCCACAGCAGGGCACAGCCAGCCAGAGCTGCTGGAAGGGCCCTTGGGATGGGCAGTGGCGCCCTGACCACGGCGCCTGGATCTGAGCAAACGCAAGTGCCCTGGCAACCGTCCTGACAGCTCTCACCCCCGAGGGACGAGCCCCATCCTGGCTCCAGACAGCGGCAGTCACGGGTGACAGTCCCCGAGCCTCCCGCACTCTGAGTCAGGACAGCTCGCCTCTCCTGGACGAAAACACAGCACAGTTCTCTTAAACTAAAACCAGCGCATACATTCTCTCCAAGAACCATCTCAGGGCACAGTCCCAGCCCCTTCCTGGGGGCCAGAAGACACAGCTGTGACCCACGCGGGCAGGCAGGACGTGAGGATGAGTCACAGAACCAGCTTCTCAGCTCTCCACAACACTGTGCTTCTGGGCGGGTGCGGCGTCCACACCCCGAACTGTACCTGGAGATGCAGGAAACGGAGAGGAGGGAAAGAAAACAGAACGAAGTGGCCACACTACTTCCTGGGAAGGTCCTTAATGCTCCTCGTGTCACCGGCTGGCGGCTTGCTGCGTCCGGTGCAGGCAGGGCCTGCTCTAGCTGGGGGAGCTGCTGCTCTGGGGGTTTGGCGAGTCCTGCTCGTTGATGGTGTTCAGCAGCAGGCCCGCGGGGGGCCGTGGCAGGTGGGCGAGCCCCGGCTCCGGAGCCTGCTCCTCAGAGGGCCCGCAGAGCCCCTCCTCCTCATCGCCGGGAGGCCGTACGTGGCAGCTGTCGCAGAAGTCCAGGGGGCCGTCCAGAGCATCGTCGATGAGCGCGCCGAACTCTTTGAGGTCGTCGTCGTCGTGGTGGCCGCGGCTGCACACACACACCTCAATGCCAGAGTCCCCGGTGAAGCGGCGGTGTCTGCCGGGCGTCTTCTCTTTGCCGTCAGGGAAGGCACCACCCTGCTCCAAGCCGCAGTCTTTCAGCAGCTCCTCCTTGCATTCCGAATCCTTGTCCAGGAAGGCCCCTGGACCCAGCTCCCCCAGGCTGGCCACTGAGCCACTCGGCTCCACTCCGGGGACTTTGGTGGCTGGGTCGGCCGGCATGTCAGAGGGCTCAGGGTCGGCGACACTCGGGGGTCTCGTGCTGCTTCTGCTGGGCCCGGACAAGGGGCTGCTCTGCGCCCTGGGGCAGTCCCTGGGGGGATCGGTGCCCGGGGGGCCGCTGCCTGCAGGGCCGCACGGAGGAGGCAGCTGCTGCCGCTGTAGCTGGAAGGCACTGTACGGTGGGGGAGGAGTTGGAGGTCGGTTCACCACTTCCTCATAAGGAGGTAGTAAATAGTTTGGCAAAAACCCTAAAATGGGGAGGGAGGGAGGAGAAATTACTGCACTGGCCATCACCCTAGGACAGGGTGCAAAGCTCACACAAAACATATGCACTGTCCCTTCCACCCCTGCAGGACAGCCTCCAAGCGGGGGCCACAGCTTTTCGTTGTGTCGGGGAGCCAGAGCCTGTGAGCAACTGTGTAGAGGAAGAGAGCAGCGAGGAGGGGACCTAACCCAGCCGGACACCCGGGAACCCCAGTCCTGCTTCCTAAGCAAGGACGCCCTGCCTACCTAGAGCTCAGGCACAAAGTCAGGCAAGTGTGGCGGATGGCCAGTAGCAGCTCTGCCCAGAACGGACCAGTTCCCACAGGCGCGCAAGGCCCATGCTCCTTGCTAGACTGCATCTATCTCCTCATCCTGCTGGCCTCAGCCAGGGACCTAACGTAAGGCTTCCTGACCCCTGCTTTCTCTCCCTGCCCTTCCAGACACCCTCCATCTGCGTCTTTCTCTGGAGGTTAAAAAGCTGCTCTCTCTAGTGTGGCTGGAGGGGGTCTGCAAAGACAAAGGGGCTTCAGCTTGACTCAGATCAAGAGCAGGCTGGGTAGGTGGCGAACCCCTGTAATCCCAGCGCTCGGGAGGCTGAAGCAGGAGGATCACTGTGAGTTGGAGGCCTGCCTAGGCTATGAGGTAAGTTCAAGGCCAGTCTGAACTGCATAGTGAAACCTTCTCAAAAAGACACAAAGAGCAGCAAAGGGGAGGGCCTCACTCCTTCAAGGCCATGAGAACAGGCCAGGTGAGTCGCCTTCTCAATGTGCTGCATGCCCAGAGGCATAGTCATCCCATTGCAACAGTAACTGCTAGCATTTATTGAGCACTTACTATATGTCAGGCACTGTGCTAAGCAAATGACCCTTTTATTTTGGGATAAACTGCCCAACTGGATCTTAAGAGCCACTTGAAGTCACGTGTAAAGAGCTCCAGAGGCCGGCGGATGCTCTTCAGTGAGGCACCAAGCTTCCCCACCGCCACCCCTACCCCAGCCCCTTTCACGGCCGCCTCTGCCAGGTATGTCCCGAGCCAGTAAGCAAATGGGAGGGATTCGGGCCTCTGAACTGTGCATCTCGGTTCACGCGGGCATATTCCCCCCCACCTGCCCTAAAGCAGCCGCTGTGAGACTGGGCACTGCGCAGCGGCTGTGGCTACAGGCAGCTGCGGCGGTGCTTGCTCTTCTGTGCCAAGGGGCAGCCCCGGCCTGGGTTTCAGAGAGCCTGCTCTGTGGGGGACGGGGCACACATCCCCACGCCCAGAGGGGCTTGGGCCACTGCCTCCAGCTCCTGAGCCTCGGGGCAGGGTGTGGTGGCTTTTGGGGTACGTACTGAAATAAAATGGCAGCGCTGAGAAATTGTGGGCTTCCCGGTAGGCGATCAGGTTGATCTCGTGCTGCCGCTGCTGGGCCTGAAGGCGGTGCTTGGCTCGGCGGTGGTGGCAGACGCAGCAGCAGCTCAGGATGATGATGACGGTCCACACCAGCCAGAACCCTGGGGCGCACGGAGAAGCAGTGCACACGTGAGTGCCCGCGGAGGGCAGCGCGCCAACAGGAGGCGCCCGACAGCGCCACGCGGCCACCGCCACTGCGGGGCCTCACCAGTTACTTCGCGCTAAGCCATACGCTCACCCACGCAGCGGTGAGCGGGGGCACGGAGTGGGAGATGGCAGGCCAGGGAGAACGACGGCCCCAGACAGTCGCGCCTGCTAGGGCCCCCTGGGACCCGGGGGGAGGGGCCAACGCCTGCGCCTGCAGTTCAGGTTCTGCGGGCCTTAAATGCGGTGATCTTTTAGGATGGTGCCCCGTCCTCTCCTAAAAAGAGATCTCAGAGGAAATGATTTCCACTTCCTTGGGGCCTGTCTCTCCCCTCCATACCCCAGGAAGATTAGCAACTGCCAGGGGCCTCAGAGCTCCCCCTAATAGAGGAGCCCTTAGGGGAAGACCAGGGCTCTCAGTCTGGCATGCCTCTGCAACACTAAACTCACTGCCTCAGGTGCACCTCTTCCCGGGGCTGGAAGACTTACTGCCCCTGCTGGCGCAGTCCGGCTCCGGCCCGGTCAGGTCCGTCTGTGTAGACTCAGGCCGGAGCAGCCGTCCGGCCTCCTCCCCGCTCTGGGGCAGGTAGAGGGGCGAAGGCCCTGAACCCTGTTTCCCACGGTGTCGCCTCAGCAACCCCAACGGAAGAGCCCCCCTCAATTTCCAAATGTACGCAGAAAAGGCTTTGAAATGTTTTTTAAGTTAATGAACAATCTTGCTCAAAAATTGAGCATGCACACATGGAAAAAAAGACTGGAGAAACACAAAACCACATCTTTAGGTGGGGGGGCGATGAGAAACTTAAACTTTCTTCTCTCAAATCACGAAACGAGAAACAAATTAGTTTTAAAAGGTAATTGTGACTAATTTTATCTTTACTGCCTTTTATTTTTTAAATTAATAAATGTATTTCTAAATAGGCTTTAAAAATTCCTCTGGGAATATAGTCCTACAATAAAATAATTTGAATCATTTAAAAAGTGAGGCATAAAATCTAATTTTTTACACATAATATTTCTGATATTAAACAAAAAGGGCAGACTATAAAACAGTATGATCTTGATTATTTTCTACATGGCTTTTGATTCTCATTGATTTAATTTTAATAAGACCAGTGCAGTCACAGGTACAGAATGACATAAATTTAAATTAAAATGCAGGGTACAGGCCGAGCAACTCAGGGTCCCTCCTGTGCCCCAGGAGCTATTCCGGTCCCCCGTGCCCCATTCCTAGTCCCATTCCTTTTCTCCAATAAATGTGCCTACTCTTAACATCTGCTGTTCCTTAGCATTCATTCTCTGACTTCAGGGGAACAAACTCCGCATCTGACATCTAGCATTTCCCCAGTATCACCCTGGAGGTCCCTCCAAGATACTTGGAAGGAGGGATTCAACTACTAAAACAACCGCGGCTGAAAAGAAATAGTCCTCTGGCTACACTTTATATTTATACTTTATACGCTTGCTATGCAGAGACAGCCAAACTCCAAGTGACCGTGCAGATGGAACCAATGACAAATGTCCCAGACTCCTTTTCCAGGACCCACCAGACTGGCCTTATAAAGCGTTCTAACTGCTAAACTACAATACGACTTCTATCCGAGGCCCATCAGGCTAGCTCTCTGGAGAAGGCCCCTGACTGCGGTTTCCCCTACACCGACCCCACTCAGCTCAAAGCAGCTAGATGGAAACTATGCCCCTTCTCCCCTCACGGTAGTCAGGGGCACCTCTTCAGAGGGGGGACATTACAGACAGCTAAGTGAGGTAGAAATGGAGCAGGCAGTCCGACAGGGCTGGGCCCCAGGGAGTCAGTGCAGGAGATAAGAATGCATCAGGACTGTGGCCAGGGACCATCTGAAGATTAAATCACAATGGCTAGTTCCACATACTTCCCTAAAGGATGAAGGAGATCTGGGATTGTTGGAATCACCCTTTTGAGATTTCCTAGTATGTCATTAGTGATGGGCTATCTGGATTCTCCCACCTACTAGTCTGAGACTACAGATTATCAACCAAGGTTAATGACATCACCCACGTACCCTTGCTACCATTGGATCAATATTACCTAAGCAACTATACTTGCAATCTTACTGGTTGATCATAACTTTGACCCATGTTGTACCCACCTCACATGATTTTGCGCTACAAAACTTCCTTTGAGAAGTGCACCCACTGGCAGCCCACTTGGGACCCTGCCTGTATCTCAGGAGCTACTGCTGTTCCCCATTCTCCCATTCCTTTTCTCCAATAAACTGTCCTACTCTTAAAAGAAAAATACACACACACACACACACACACACACACACACACACACACACACATTTAGTATGCAACCTGATATGCCAAGTTTCCAGGTGTTTTAAAAATTGCTATAGATTTTATTTTTGATTGACATATGATCTAATTTTTGCTTTAAATATAGGACTGCTGAACATGGAGCTGCACACCTGTAATCCTAGCACTTGGGAAGCTGAGGCAGGAGGATCACAAGTTTGAGACAAGCCTGAACTATATAGCAAGATCCTGTCTCAACAAACTCCCAGCATCCCCAGCCAGGCACGATGGCTCATGCCTGGGATCCCAACACTCTAGAAGGCTGACACAGGAGCACTGAAAGTTCACGCCCAGTTTGAGCAACTCAGCAAGCCTCCGTCTTGAAATAAAATAGTTAATAAAGGAGCTGCGGATATAGCTCAGTACAAAGGTTTTCAATCCCCAGGACCACAAAAACAAACAAAAAGTGTAACAGATGCTGAATGACCTAACTCAGAGACAGAGCACTTGCCTAGCATGTGTGAGGCTCTGGGTTCAATGTCCAACATCACAAAAAATAAAGTACGTGAACAGAAAAAACAAAACAAAACAGCAAGCTGATTAGGAGGTTATTCTGGATGACAGGACAATAGATTTCCTGGAACCAGTTCCTTCCACCTGTTCGTTTGTTTGTTTTTCTCTTTTTGAGACAGGGTCTCGCTCTGCAGTTCAGGCTGGCCTGGAGCTCACTTTGTAGCCCAGGCTGGTCTTGAACTTGCAACAATCCTCCTGCTTCAGCCTCCCGAATGCTGGGATAAAGGCGTGCACCACCACGCCTAGCTAAAATAAAACATTTTAAAAAACAGTTGGAGCTCAGTGTGATGGCCCTGGGTTCAATCTCCAATATCAAAAAGAAAAAATGATTTTCTCTCCCCCAAATACTTGTAAATGAATAAATCCCTGACTTTTCCTCATGTGTATACAAAATGTATTCCAAAAGATCTCAGCTGGCATTGGTGATGTATCAGACCAGTCCCTTCCCTGTCTCCCTGGGGTTCCCTGCTGGGTCTCCTCGCCTTGTCCAGGTAAGAAGGGTGGTGACATGGCCTCCCAGCTGCTCCACAGCTCCCCACGGCTTCAGCTGCCAGGGCCTGACGAAGCCATGATATCCTGGCTCTGGATGGCCCAAGACATCCACAGGAGAGGACCCTCAGGACATGGAGGAGAGGCCGGAAAGGAGGACAGGAGAGAAGTGGCCGCTCACACAGGTCTCGCGTAGCCTGTCCTCCCCGCTGGGCTCACCTCAGGAAGGACACAGATAAGCACAGTGCCTTCCGCTTATGAGCTGGGCTGGAGCTGGGGTGCACACTACTCCACGGCCGCCGCTACGCGCTGCCTACGCTCCGCAGTTCCTAAGAGATGGGGGCTCACAAGGCACCCACGCTGGCCCTGAGTCCATGGGCTCCGCGACACTCACGTCTTAGCCGTCCAAACTGCGGGCGCTACAGGCACGTGCACCATGGCCAGCTCAGTTTAAAAATACCTTCTCTGTTGCGAGTTCGAGGCCAGCCTGGGCTACAGAGTGAGGTCGAGGCCAGCCTGAATTGCACTGCGAGACTCCAGTCTCAAAAAGACAAAAAAACGAAACAAAGAAAACCTTCTCCCATTAGACAATCAGCATCTATTTTTATCCCAAGTCATTTTGTCAGTAGTTCTAAAGGTAAACTAAGGCATTATTTCTCCGCTTTAAAAAAAAAATATATATATATATATGTATACATACATATATATATATATTTTTTTTTTTCTTTTTTTTTGAGACAGGATCTTGCTATGTAGTTCAGACTGGCCTTGAATTCATTATGTAGCCCAGGCTACCTCAAATTCATGGTGATCCTCCTGCCTCAGCCTCCTGAGTGCTGAGATTTGCAGGTGTGCCCCACCACGCCTGGCACATTCATCACATTCTAACACAGCCCCAGAAAGCTCACATACTCAGTGAAATTCAACCAGTGCACCGTGTGAGCGTGCAGGCGTGTGTGTGTGCGCACACACATGCACATGGATTTGGGATCGAGCCCTGAGCCTTTTACGTACTAAGCACACGTTCATGACTGGGCTGCACCTCAGGCCCCACCTACACCTCTGCATTTGAGGTGGGCGCAAACTATCTTCACCGCGCACCAGCCGTGTGCTTTGCGGCATGATGGGGCGTCAGCACAGGCACAGGAGAGGTACCTAACAAGCTGGTCCCGCTTGGTACGAAGTAAGGCAGGAGCTCCCTGATGGGGCCCTCACAAACTGGACATCTCAGATGTTCCAGCTCCCCCGTCAAAGCTGTGTCTCCCGGCTTCCAAAGGGGGAACACTCGGACTAGTTCCTGTGGAGTCGGGCCAAACTTTTACCTTTCAGAAACAAGGAAGCAAGTTTAAAAAGTAAAATCTAACTTATGATGCGCAGGAGAGTACAGACACACCCCCATGAAACACACCTTGGAAAGCCATGCCCTTGCTGTGGGGAGCATTTGTCCTGCTAAACAAAATGGAAAACATGTTTTTAAAAACAGCCACAGCCCAGTGTAGGAACTGCACCATGTGCCCCAGAGATCACTAAAAACTTGGGGAAACGCCACTCAACGGGCGGGCAATCTCCCACCGGGCAGCTAGGCGCAGGGCAAGGTAACGCTCCTTCCTTCCTCCCCTCCCTCCGGCGGCACGCGCGTGCGGCCCCTCTTCCAGCTCACAGCAGCAGCTCCTGCCACCGGCACTCGGGAAGAGGCCTGCATTTGGAAGACCAGGACTTCGGAGACTCGAACCTTCCTCTGCAAGCTGGGAACTGATGAAGAAGTGTGCGAGGACCTGGAGGAGCTAGGAGCAGGCAGCCCGGCTCAAGTCCCAGGCCACACTAACCACTCCTTCTAGGTCTGTGACCTTGGTCGTTACTTCTACTTCCCTTATGTGAAATGGGGAGAAAACCACCGTAGGGAGCAAGTGCGTTAATCATGCTTGCGGCAGCCTCAGAAGCACGTGTGATGTAAGGTACGTTCTCCAGCTTATGGCTGCCGCGCTGTGACAGGAATAGCCACGGATGGGAAGAATTTCCTTTCATTTTCCCTTTTAACCTTCCCCAAGATATTCCATAAAAAACATGGGTTAGGAGCAAGTCCAAAATCTACTTCTTGGTTGTGCTCTTGGCAAAATTCACTGGAAAATCAGGCAACCTCCTACTTCCGAGCCCCCGCCATGGACACGGTGCCCTGTCAGCTGATCCTCGCTCCTCTGCTCTGATCAACCAAACCAGGGAAACCTGAAGCTTGAGTGAAATTCCCCAGACTACTTCAGGGGCAACACGGACTTCTTCCTGGAAAATGTAGCTCAGTGGGTGGCAAGAGTGCTGAGGAGACCCGAGACACAGCCCCAGGGACGCTCCTGTGCTCCCAGGTCTTCCCGGCCTGGGGCGGGAGCCTGAACGGAGGGCTGCGGGGTGAGCTCCAGTACTCCTCAGCTGCAACCTCCACCGCTGGCGCTCGTGCCCCAGCCCAGAGAAACGGGGCTGTGCGTCGGGTCAAGCAGATGATGAGGATGAAGGCTCCACCTGGCGCCTGGGACAGCTCTAGCCCCAGAAGCTCCGCTTCCCATTTCTTCTCAGGCAAGCCCCACAGCCCTAGTGCAGGAGCTCTTTCCGGTAGCGCTCTGGCTGGCGGCCTCTTCTGCCTGGGAGCTCTTCTGGCTTTTCCCGTATCTTACTCCCAGCCACCCTTTGAGGCCCACTTCAAATGCCACCTCATCCACACGGCCTGCCTGAAGTCTGGCCGAAGCAAACTCCCATTAAATAGTCACAGCAGAACTCACACTCACACCAGCCGGCACACACAGCCCACCGCGACCTCCCAGGGCTGGCTGGCCATCTTGTCTGACTGATCGCTCTGCTAGATGCTTTCTGATGGCAGCACTTACACCTCTCCCATGGTCGCTAGCATAGATGAGGCCGCGGCATCACTAAAGGCCTTGCTAAAACTGCAGATTCTCAGATCTGCCTCTGGCCGGCTACATTAAAACCTTCAGACGGGGGGATACAGTTTGGTAGTTCAGAAATTGCCTAGTATGGGCAAGGCCCCGCATTTGAGGCTCAGCACTGTAAAACAAAATAAAAAATAAAAACAAAAACAAGCAAGCTGTGAGTGGGGCCTAGAAATCTGTGCCAGAAATTCCAATGCCTATCAAATTCTGATGCCCACCATTAGCCTAAGGGTTTGCTGAATGACTAAATGATAGAATGATGAATTAAAGTACAAATGCCATGCAAATGCACAGACACAACAACAATGGTGACCAGGCTTTATCGCCTCCACCTCTGTACTACTAAAACAGGATCTTCAGTTCCTGTCTCACACAGGCCCAGTGAGTAGTTTAAGTTACAACAGATTGAAAGGTGCCGGCCAAAGGCCAAGGCCAGGGGGGTAGTGGGTGTGTGTGCATGTGCGTGTGTGGAGTACATGTCTGTGACATCCTCAGCACAGAGGAAAACTCAGTTTAGGAGAGGTGACAGGATTGGTGGGAGAGGCACTGCTTCCCATGGCTTTTCCCATCGGCCACTATAGCGACAGTGCAGCCACGGCGAACCTTTCAGAGCTTTCCACGAGAACGAACAGCCTGCTGCGGCACGCGTGTCGTAGGTTCGCCCCCACAGCTGCAGAGGCACCTCTTCCTCTTTATTCTGGTACTGGGAATTGAGCTCAGGACCTTGGAGGCACCTCTTCTGAGGAAAACTCTGCTAAGGATTTCCCTGCTGAAGTTTTTACCAACCAACCCAAAGCCCCCGGGCCTTCACATCTCTGGCAAAGCCGAGAGGCAATGAAGGAAAGGGATTTAAAACAGTGAAGAGTACAGTTTTGCTGAGAAGGCCATGGCTCATTCCAACGCCTGACTTCCCTTCCACACACTTCTGGCAGAGGCCTGGCCCTGAATGCGGCAGAAAACCAAGGCGCTCCTGGGAACGCCGAAGGGACACAGGTGTCACCTGGCCGAGAAGCCACTGCTGGGCATCGGTGAGTAAAACGTTTGCTTTTACTCTGTCACTCTAACACCTGGCGATGACAAGGCAGCACCAGGGACCTCTCCTCTCCACAGACTCTCCCTGTCCCGCCACCTCCCCTCCCCAGCCGTCCACCACTGCAGCGAGCGTGCCCGGCTCTTCTTGGACTTTCTCTAGGTCCCCGGAGTGGAACCTGCTTCCCAGGACGCTCCTGACATCTGGGTCTTCCAGCCCCCTCCACCCCCGCCTCTCCACCCACAGTGTGATGAGCCAGTTCTGGTGACACCGAGTCTGCTCTGCAGCCCGCCCAGAAGGCTCTGTCAATCTGAGACTGGGCCACCAGCGACTCCACTCCCCTCCTCGGCTGATGTTACCAGGGCCCAGAAGGCCCAGCGAACTGCGTGCCCGTCGGGCGGTCGGGCGCCAACTTGTTTTTACAAGGGTGGGAGGGAAGTCAGGCCCTGGGGTTATCTGCACTTTGAGACACACAAGTGCAGCCGCCTGCCCAGCTCCTGGCGCTCTCTGGTCTGGCTCTCAGCCCCACCTCTTCTAAAACAGCACAACTCTGTGCCCACCTCTGGCCCAGCTTGTAAGCACGGAAGCCTGGTGGGGAAGTGGGCGCCCTGTCCCTGTGGCCCCGGACTGCCCTGGACACCCGCGGTGCTCAGGCCTGCAAAGGGAGAGGCAGGTCTGAGGGACAGGCTCTGTGTGGCGGCCCGGCCCTGCTGGCTGTCACAGACAACTGCACTGCACCGGCAGAGGCTTCCCTGCCAGGAGTCCCACTCCTTGCCAGACCGAACGGTGCTAGCTGCGGTCCCGTCACATGGCTGCGTGGGGGTGGGGAGACGGGGAGAGGGCAGCAGGGACGACGGGTTAAGGCACCACTTAGCAACGGAGCCTCAGACTCCCTTCCACACGGAGGCAGGGCGAGGGGCTCAAACCATCCAGGGCCAGGGTCTACCGTTTCCTCTCTCAAAAGACAGATCTGCCTCTGGCCTGCTACATTAAAACCTTCATACGGGGGGATACAGTTTGGTAGTACAGAAATTGCCTAGTATGGGCAAGGCCCCGCATTTGATGCTCAGCACTGAGAGACCCCTGACACCACAGCGGCAGTTCATGAGGGCCGCTCGGCCCAACGGAACCCTCCGCCTTCTGTTCTCTGGCAGCCTAGAGCGCCTCATCTGAGCTCTAAGACAGTAAGAGCACGAAGCACGTGAGTCGAAGCCAATCTGGGGCGCGCCCCGAAGCCCACCCCCCACGGCTGCGAGGCTGTGGAAATGCAGGGGCCCAGGCTCGGGGGATTCGGAAAAGCGGAGGACTGTCTTCCCCGGCACTTAGCTGACCGCACCAGGCCACATGCACTGCAGCAGGCTCCAGATGCCTCAGCTTGAGAGCTGGGGAAAGAAAACAGGGGCTGAGACACCCTTTCTCCAAAGAAATCCACAGCAAACCCGGGGGAAGGTTACTGCTTTGAGAGGGACCCTCAGGACGCGGCGGCCCTGGAAGGTCCTGACAGGGACTCTGGACGCTTGCTGGTTTCCACAATAAAACGGCACTGTTGGCAGGTAACGCCGAGCCTGGCGCTCCAGCAGCGTGGGGCAGGAGAGGGAAGCCTGGGTTGGGGGCCGGCACTGAGGAGAACCCCAGCGCCGAGGCAGCTCAGTGGCAGAAGGCCTGCCTGGCATGTGCAAGGCCTTGCGTTGGAGCTCCAGTATTGCAAAAAAAAAAAAGAGAAAGAATAAATAAAGAGGAACCCTAGGCGGGCGCACTGGCCACCGGCTAGAACCACGGCCCCGGGGGAGGCTCCGGCCTTGTTCCCTGTCTCAAGCCCAGTGTTCTAGGGCACAGAGCCCTGCTCCTCCACAGAGAAGTCACTTTGGGACCTGGATCCAGACAGCTCTCCAACACTGTCCCCAAGAGAGACAGGGGAGGCTGGTCACGGTCCCCAAGGAGCAGCCCCCGGGAAGCACTTACACCAGAGCTCATAGTAGTAGTTGCAGCACTGAGACTGTCCGCAGCAGTGTCCTGTGTCACAGATGTAGCTCTGATTGTTGGTACCCACACAGGCTTCCTTATCCTAAAAAAGAAAAATCAAGAAGTTTTTGAACATATTAAACTAGAGCTCTTAAAACACCAATTTTGCCAGGTAAGGCAGCATAGCCCTGTAATCCTAGCACTCGGAAGGCCGAGGCAAGAAGATTGGTGCGACCTCAAGAACAGCCTGGGCTACAAAGTGAGTTCAAGACCAGCCCCAACTACACAGCAAGACCCTGTCTCAATCCATCCATCGATCAATCAGCAATTTTCTTCACACACACACCCCCATCACTTGCCTGTCCATCCACAAAGCTGTGGCAGTTTCCTTATTTTATTAAGGAAAGAAGTTAAAGAACCCTACAACATACTCTGGAAGGCTGAGACAGGAGGACCCCAAGCTCAGGCCCAGCAACCGCCAATTTGCCAACTTACAACTTAGCAAGACCTTGTCTCAAAATATGAAATAAAAAAGGGCTGAGGATACAGCTCAGTGCAAAGTCCCACAAAACAGTGGCAGAGCTGCGGTCTCTGAAGAGGCGTGGGAGGCCCAGCACGCACCGCCGGCTGTAGAGAGCGAGGCCCTCAGACGGGGCCCGGGAGGCTGCCTCCCTCTGTCACGTCCACAGAGAAATCTGTGTCCGGGCTTTGCTCGGTGGGAGGAAGGGACGGTGCTCCCGGAATCAGCACTGTTTTCAATAAAGCAGCTCTTCCGCAAGACCTCCTGGAATAACTGATGCAGCAGGGACTCAAGGGTCAGCCCCCAGTCACGTCCTTTGCTTCAGAACAGGCGCGTCCGAGGTTATTCACAGCGGGATTCAAGAGCGGAGCCTAAGCCTGCTCCTCAAATTCTTTACACCTCAGAAAAAGGTGGCCTGGCTAGGTAACCTGGTCCAACCTCACCTTGCTAGGTCACTCTGCTTGCTTGCCCCGTGACTTCTTAAGACTCCTGAGTGGACCCAGGATTCACACTGTCCCTTATCAGGGACAGCTACATGAAGGGCGCTGCTGAGTAGCCACCTAGCAGCTCGCCAGGTTCTATTCATAGCACTGCTGGATGAGGACGAGCCGGACACCTTTTAAAAATAATTTCACATTTAAGGTGCGAAACGCGCTCCCAGCCAACCCCAGCCCCGGGCCAGCGTGCACTCGGGGACGCCGCGCAGAGCAAGGCGACGTCTTGTGCTGTGTCTGGCTTCCAAAACTTCTCTGTTCCCAGCCCTGGCCCCTGCGCCAAGCACTGTGTCGGATAAAGGGGACACGAACTGAGGAAGCCCCCGTCTCTTTGTTCACGAAGTGCGGAGCTAGGAAGAAAAACCCTGCTCAGCAAAGAGACTCAAACTGCAGCACTAACGCCTGCCCGGCAAGCACAAGGTCCTAAGTTCGAGTCCCGGTACAAAACAAAAAAACCAAGACAAAAACAAAACAACAAGTCATTTACTGTCAAACTGCAGGACTGTGCGGCTGTCTGGGTTGCCCCGGCCCACGGCGCACATCCGGTCGGGCGGCGACCGGGGAACTTAGCTCACACGGCTGGGTCCTCCTCTCTGGCCTGACTTCACTGTGGCGTCCACTTGGCCAGGGCAGAAACAAGCACTCCAGTGACAGTGACAGTCTGAAGGGCTGGAGGCCAGGCAGCAACAGAACAGGCCCCTGAAGCCACAGGAGACAGGAGAGAAGGCAGGCTGAGCGCGGATCTCCAGCGCAGCCCAAGGGCCTCGCGCACACCCTCAGGGATTCCTGGCTTTTAAAAGCACTGGCTCTGTTAGAGAGGAGCTTAGGGTGAAGGAAGCATGGGAAACGCGCTAAGCTCCCACACCGTTTCACACGATGCAAACAGAGGTTTTATTTACACTGACCTTGTTTCCCAAGCCCACCAAAACCACAGACTCCCAGCAGGGGGCTGGGACAAAACAGAGCTGCGCTTGCTGCTTCGGCCAGAACCAGCCTCTCTGGCCTCAAAGCAAGACACTCCTTTCACAAAGACACCAGAAAGCTTCAGGCCCGTTCACCGAGCCTCTCATGCTGCTTTTCCGGCCCGGGCTGCAAGAGCGCAGTTCAGCACCCTCACGGTTTCTGAAAGGCCGGGTTGCCACCCTCTAGCACATGACACAACCCAGGACCCTCGGCCTGGGGAAGAGGCGCCGATGAGGCCGATGAGGCCGGGGCTCTGCGCCCAGGGCGGCGGTCAGGGGAGGCGTGGGAGTGTGTGCGGGCGAGCACGCTGCAGATGGAGACCTGTTGCGCCCTGTGAGTGCTGGGCGGCTTTTCTCTCACCGCTTCCGGGCCTGGGGCAGAGGCCTGTGCCTTGCCCTTTCCCATGGAGAGCACGCTGAACCCGGCCCCTCAGGCTCCCCCAGACCCAGTCTCCACGCCGCCTGGTGGTAGGCGCCGTCCTTCTGCAGGCAAGGAGGGCGCACGAGGACTCGGCCCTGGGGCTGAATCTTGGGCTGTGAGATGGGAGCATGAGGCGGCCCACTGCCGTGCGGAGAGCCCGGCAGCCAAGGCTGGGCCCAGCTCTGCACCAGAGGTTCGCACGTCGGGCAGGTCACTCGGTGGCCCAGGCGAGTTAGGCTGATCTCTAACAGCGTCTCCTGAGGCGCAGGCGCACCAGGCACTGCACCCTGCTGCGTAGGGTCGGCCGCGTCGCGCTTCCAGCCCGCCCGCTCCCCGCGGGAGAGCTCCGAGACGCACGCCTCCCGCCTTACCAGCAGCGAGGGCCTGCGGTCTGGACATGGGGCCCGCCACCCCTCCGCCCTTCTCTGTCTGAGGAGCCTGGACGCGGAGCCTTCTGAGGACTTGCACAGACCTCAGGCAGCTCCGAATCCAAGCTCCGGGGGAGAAGAGGCAGCCCCGTCAGGTGCGGGCCCAGCTCCCACGCGAGGCTCACCCGGCGCGAACATCCCCGAGCCCCACTGTCAGCACTGCGCCGCCAGAGCCCCCTTGGCCGTCACGGAGCATTGCGGCAGGACAGCAAAGCTCACAGCAGCCTCCGGCCGCTCCAGCCACGGGGAGAGCAGAAGGAGCCGGAGGGAACGCAGCAGAGGCTGGAGATGAAAAACTCCCGGCGCCCTCCATGACTACCTGCGCTCCTCTGCAAGGCCTCTTCCAGCTCATGACCTTACGTCCAGAGAGTGGGCACTCGGTGTCCCGCCCACGCTGCCGTCCTCCGGGGGGCGAGCCGGGCCGGAGCGCCATCCGCTCACCCCCTCTGCCTCCCCAGGGCAGCACCAGGCCGGGGGAGGCGACGCCGAGCAGGTGCTCGTCGCAGGGCCCTGTCCGCAGCTCTGGGGAGCGGCAGGCACAGGACTCGAGGCCCAGAGCGTCAAGGCACTGCCCAGCGCCACCACCGGGCGGCAACCCCAGCCGGACCGCGCTCAGCACGGCGCCGTCGCCTCTGTGCGTTCTACACTTAGCGGTTCAGTTGCCTTCCACACCTGGCTGCTTAAGTAAAAACCCCGCCAGACAAAACCGACCTTCACCGCTGAGGAGAGATCAGCACCGGCCGGGACTCGGGGCTTGGGAGCCGCACACCGCACTGTGTGCTCAGGGCCGCTCCTTCCTGGCTCGAATATCCCACTTTCGCACTGCTCTCCTGAGGAGCAGCCCGGTCCCTCCGCCAGATGGACACGGGGCCCGCACGCTCCTTTCTCGTTTACCGAGCACCCCACTGTACGCCGCTCCGAGCGGGGCGGGGCACACAGCGGGCACCTGGGCTGACGCTCCGGCCGCTGCTCCCACACGGCCCGTGGGCTAGTGACAGCCGGCGCAAGAATCACACAGCTGAAACCGCAACTGAGAGCACAACAGGTACGACTGGGGCTCACTAACCAAGCGAGCCCCACACTGGCTTCCCGGAGGGAGGGAGGGAGCTTGAACTGAGGGCCACGGCACAGGCAGAAGGCCAGCGACTGGCAAAGAGGGATGGGGCAAACAGTCCGGAGGAGAAATGGTGTGGCAAAGCTCTGGCTGGAGGAGGAAGCGGGGAAGTTAGGTAAGGGAGACCAGACTGCAGCCCCTGACACGATTGGATCTGCATTTTAAAGATGCCTTCTTCTGGGCCAGGGATACAGCTCAGCCGCACAGCGCCTGCCTGGCAAGTACAAGGTCCTGAGATCAATTCCTGGTACCAAAAAAAAAAAAAGAAAAAAAAAGGTTCTTTCTTCTGGCAAAATTTTCATTTGCACAAACAAGGCTTAAACTTTTGTTTTTGTTTGTTGAGACAGGGTCTCGCTATGTAGTTCAGACTGGCCTTGAACTCACTAGGTGGCCCAGATTGACCTCGGACTCATGGTGATCCTCCTGCCTCAGCCTCCTGCGTGCTAGGATTACAGGCGTGTGCCACCCCTGGGGAAAATGTTTTTAAAGATGCTGAAAACACAGAACTTGCCAACAAGAAACTTTGTGTTAAAACAAATGAGTGCTTCTAAAAACAGAAAGAAGAAAAAAAAAGAGTTCTCTAATGCCCTGCCCTTCATCCCCTTGCCAGGATCCTCTGTCACTGGTCTGTGCCTTCAGCCTAGTCCAAGTGATCAGCTCAAGAGACAGGTTGCTAAAAAGACTCACGGCCACCGAACAAAAACCATCAGTACAGCCAAACATCGTGGTGCCTGCCTGTCATCCCAGGGCTAGGAAACCCGAGGCAAGAGGATCACAAGTTCAGGTCCAGCGCCGGCAACTCAATGACTTAATGAGAACCTATCTCAGAGTAAAAAATAAAAAGACTGGGGGACGTAGTGCAGTGGGAAGGTCCTACGTTCAATCTCTAGTCAACCATACTCTCTCTCTCACACACAAGGTCACCATCGAACTGGGAAGAACATTTTTACAATGGGAAAGGCTGAATGATGTGCCTTTTGCACATACGCAAAACATTATCCCCTCTTCAGTGGCAGCACCAACTGCGGGACTAAGAACATTTTCTTAACAGTTTCCACGTCCTGGAGTTGCTATTCTCAGCTGAGCCACCGTAAAGGTCAATTTAATCAGGGCCAGAACTTTGTAAGTGCCAGCACGGAGAGACACCGGGCAGTCACGGCTCTC